TAGGGTTTAGGGTTCAGGGTTCTTCGGACTTGGGGCTGGTACGGCTTGGCCTTGGTACTGTAGAGGTCTGATGGATTAGGAACTTGGTTTCTTCCGTATGACTGGTAGTCCGCCAGCCCGAACAAGTCAGAGAAACGCGCCGTGAATCCCGTTATACCTCCCGATGGTGTTGTCTTTAGTGAAGCCTGTATTGATCTGTGATTCACGGTTAGGGCTCAAAGTTCAAAGGCTTGGCACGGGTTTCGTGGATACTGACCGAGCCATCGGATGAGCGACCTACAGTTGGGCAGAAGGCAGTCGTCGTAAGGCTGGATTTCCTGAACTCTTGAGCCGTGCAACCCTTGAGCTTTCCCCAAAGCCTAAACCCAGACATTTAAGAATGGCCAAAGCCGCATCCCAAAATCCTTGCCCCGAACCTTTTGCCTTTGCTAGGCCAGGCTGGTGCGGACGCTCAACAGACCATTGCCGAAAATGACGTGACCTCCTGAAATCAACAAAGTAGTACCAATATATCCGGCTCCGCGTCCCTATTTAATCAATCATACTGTATCACACACCAAAACTCGATCTTGTTCCAATTAACGTGCCTCATTCGCTGCCCAAACCCCAGAAACTCCCCTAATATTAACCTCAATCCTCGAGGCCCTACGGCCCCAAACTCTAAAACTCTACAGGTTTAGGGTTTGGGGTTTAGGGTCTAGCTCTGCACATTTCTGATGCTAATACTGCTTGCTGGCGCCCGCTGGTTGAAAGCTTCCCTTCTGATGCTCCTGATGCTCTCTTTTGCTGTGCCCTGTGGTTGGCAGTCCCCCTTCTGATGCCCATGATGCTCGCTTTCGCTTCCCTAATTGACTTGACCAAAGAGTCCCTTTCTGACCTTTGGCTCGGCCTGTTGGGCAAACGTGTCCCTTCTGATGCTCATGATGCTCGCCTTCCTTGCGCCGACGGCAAGAAAGGCTGCGTTCTGATACATGCAATGGTCTCTTGCTCAGCCGGTTGGTCAAACGTTGGCCTTCTGATGCTCGTGATGCTGGCCCTCGCCATCCCGTCAGTCAAGAGTTTCCCTTCTGATGCTGATGATTCTGTCTTCACCTTCCCATTAGTTTTTATGTCGGCCTTTGATGCTTCAGAACCTTCAACAGTCTTACAGCCAGAGCCTTTGACCCCTGAACCTTAAGCCTCCTAGATCTTAACATTCGCCAACGAGCAAAACCCCTCAAGCCTCATGCCTTTCCCTAACTCCCAACGAATCAGAGAATCTCCAGCACCCTCACAAGGCCGCATGAAATCAAACCCTAAACCCTATACCCCTAAACCCTAAACCCTAAACCCTATACAGTCCCTTCGCCTTCAGTCGCTCTTCAAATCGAGGCAGCTCCTCATGGAGAGGCCCGGCATGGGTTTAAGAGGCTCCGTCAGAGGTTTAGGGCTTGAGGATGTAGGTAGAGGTCCCAGGGCTTAGGGTTGAGGGACGTGAAAAGTTGAGGTATGTCTAGGGCTTAAGGTTCAGAGTTTGGGGATTGGGGGGTGAGTTTGTTCTTGCCATAGCAGCCCCAGGCCCTACAACCTATGATTAGCTAATGTAGGGGCCTAAATAATTACCAATACTATTTTGGGGGCTCCTTTTTATAATTATAGTATACTGGGCCCCAAAAACCCTATTCTAATCATTAAGGCCCCTCTACAGAACCCCTATAGCAACCCTAAAGGGATACCTTTAAGGAACCCTTCAAAGGAACCCTACTCTAACTATGAAGGCCCCTGTCTTAGGTTGCAGCTGCCTGGTTCTTTGGAACAGTCAGTGGCACTCTAAGGTTTCAGGTTTAGGGTTTGAGGTTTAGGGTTTAGGGTTTAAGGTCTAGGGTTTAGGGTTTAGGCTTCAGGGTTTAGGGTTTAGGCTTTAGGGTTTAGGGTTTAGTCCAGAACTGAAGACCTCCAAGCACTAAATCCCTGAGCCCCCAAAGCTCTAGAGCCCGAACTGCCCTAAACCCCAAAGCCCTAAACTTAAATCCTGGACCTTAAACCCTTAAACGCCCCAAGCCCTTCAACTTCTGAAACTTTGACCAAGGCCTCAACTTTCTGAACATTTTGAGACCTCGCAGCCCGCACCCTAAACCCCTAACCACTAAACCCTAAACCCTAAAACCCTAAACCCTAAACCCTAAACCCTAAAACCCTAAACCCTAAACCCTAAACCCTAAAACTCCTGGAAAAAGCCAAAAATACCACGGGGAAAAACACACTTTGGCAGGATGAGCCCTCAGCTGCGAGCCGAAGCCTGCCACTGGGCCTCAGGTTCTGCTTTAGGTGTAGGGTTTAGGGTTTAGGGTTTAGGGTTTAGGGTTAGTTCAGGGTTTAGGGTTTAGGGTTAGTTTAGGGTTTAGGGTCTAGGGTTTAGGGTTTTAATATAACTGGCGGCCTTCATGATTAGGCTGAATGGGGCTGTCGGGATTTCGGTGTATACGAAACCATAATGTCATAAGTATAACGGGGACTTTTTGGAGTTTAGGGTTTAGGGTTTAGGGTTTAGGGTTTAGGGTTTAGGGTTTAGGGTTTAGGGTTTAGGGTTTAGGGTTTAGTGAAGGCTAAGTATTCCGACCCCTATATTGGGCCCTAAACCCTAAACCCTCAATTGGGGATTCGGGTTTAGGCTAATGGTTTGAAGGGTGAGATGACGGGGTTTATATGGTTTGGGGCTTTGCATGTGAAGGTTCAGGGTTTAGGGTCGAGGTGTTTAGGGCGTGTAGAGCCCAATACCCCCAGGTAAAGAGGGGTTTAGGGTTTAGGGCGTGTGGAGCCCAATACCCCCAGTTAAAGAGTGTTTCGTAAGTCATAGTGAAGCCCAGTTGAGGGGATTTTGGGCTCTGTGGTGCCCCGGAGAACTATCGTGGAAGTTGGGTTTGGGACCGTTTAAAACAGGGCTTTGGGGGTTGGAGGTCTGGCGGTTGAGTTCGGGGTGTCGTACGGTAGATTTATAAAGGGCTCGGTATTACTCGGTATCAGACCTGCTCAGGTTCACAACTCGGTGTAACATGAAGGCCTGCAGAAATAGCAAGACTACTAAGATGCTGTTTCTGAAGGTTTGGATTGATATTTATGGCTTGTCGCCTGGACTCAAAGCGCTGCACCTTCCCATGCCTTAAGCCCTTGAACCCAAAGCCTCAAGACCCTCCCAGGCTTTGGGAAACCATAGAGTAGGAGCCAAAAGGAGGGGAAGCTTGAAGGTCGTTGCTTCGATGGCCCTCGAAATCAAAGGCATCCCAGCGATAATCATCTGAAGCACCCTAAGCCCTAAACCCTAAACCCTAAACCCTAAACCCTAAACCCTAAAACCTAAACCCTAAACCCTAAACCTTTCAATCCGTCTACAAACCCTACATAAATCCTAAAGCCTTGAAGCCCAGAGCTCTGTAGCCCACAATCCGGTAACCCTAGAGCCCCAAATTTTAGAACCCTAAACTGGGTTGAGGGCCAGAGCCCTAACCACTAAACACCAGAACCCTAGAACCCAGAACGCTAAACCCTAGAACCCCGAACCCCCGAAACCCTAGAAGCCTAAACCCTACATCCCAGAACCCCAAGGCATTGCAATCAACCTCGGATGGCTCCAGCCTCCTGAGCGCAAGAGCTTCAGGGTTTCAGGATGTGAGGCGGGAAGGATTTAATATAGGGGCCTTAATAGTTAGAATAGGGTGTTGGGCCCATTATACTACAAATTATAATAGGGAGCCCCCTAAACCCTATTCTCACTATCAAGGCCCCTACGTTAGGTTGGTTGGTTGGTTGCAGGGTTTAGGGTTTAGGGTCTAGGGTTCAGGGGCTGGAGGGCTATAGGGTGTCATGCTTAGGGGGTTTAGGGTTGAAGGGTTGCTGGGTTGAGAGTTTAGGGCTGAAGGGGGTTTAGGGTTTA